AACCATTTTTGACAACATTTAGACACGCGCACACGTGTCAAAATCTGAGTGGTCCAGTTGGAAAAATTAAATGAAAATGGACCACTCAGATTTTGACACGTGTGCGCGTGTCTAAATGTTGTCAAAAATGGTTGTTCAAGTATCATTTTCCGTGTAATAACAACCATGACTTCATGTATTACCCATAATTTATTCTGGTTTTGGAGGAACAATTGATGATCAAAATGGTTTCTCTTCACTTCTAAAGAAAAAAAGGCCAGAAGGGCTACCATCTGGTAGCAGTGCCAATCTCACTGCAGCTTCAGCACCTTCATCAGGTGTGAGAAAACCTGTATTGTAGTTTATATCTGTTTTCACATAGCCTGGACAAACAGCATTGATGAAGAACGAGGGATACTTCTTTGCCAAAATCCTTATGTAGGCATTAAGAGCAGCTTTTGAGACACTATATGCAGACATTGCCTGAGGCCAACCTTTGCTTTCTAGTGAACCCTCTTTAAAGGCCTTCAAAAATTCATCCAAAATCTCATCAATCTTTTCTTCTGTAAGGTTTTCAGCATCACTAAGTACTTCTTTAGGCCTTCCATCCTTCATATTCTGCAAAAAATGAACAAGCACCATTTTCAACTGCACTAATCAACAGTAAATCTATTAATTGAATCAAGTAATTATTTATCTGATTACAAACACAATCAGAACAAATAGCATTGATATGTTCAGAAGTTCAGTATCCAATTGAAAGTTAATTGCTGGTATCAGTGCATCTCACTCACATACCTCAAGCCTTCCCATGGATGAGGAAACATTCACAATTCTTGGAGAGCTTGAAAACTGAAGAAGGGGAATAAGTGTTTTGGTTAATTCCTTGACTCCATAGTAGTTTGTTTTAAGACCTGCTTCAGCTAATTCATAGGTTTCAGTCACTATTTTACTCCAATCAACACGACCAGCATTTTCCTGCACCAAACAACTCAACAATAAACCTGATTTCTTTGATGAATTGATTAAGGGAAACATCTATAAGTGCAAGCCATGATGTGAAGTTTTAAATGCTTGATTCAAGTTATGCACACTTCATCAATCTCGTTCTTTACACATATATGGGGAAAATAATTCACAAAAATTAATTAACATGATTATCGGCTACAGTTGTGAACACTAGAACATAATGTTCTTTGCACAAACAAATACACTAATTCCATTTCCAACACTAAAAAATTTGCTGAGAAAACTGTTAAAACTGGGGAAATACAATCATACCATAATGCCAGCAGCAGACAAAGCCTCACCGTCCACATGTGCTCCAGGAATTCCAGCATTGTTTACCTACACAATTCCCATGCTTCCAATATGTTTATGTTACTCTATCAACTGATTTAGAAAAAAAGGTTGATGACAAGATTACAACCAAAAAAAATTAGAAGTTTTTTCTTACCAAGATATCCAGTTTCCCATACTGGTTTTTGATGAAATCTGCCAGCGATGTTATACTTTTGGGATCAGTAACATCAAGTTGATGAAAAAGCACATGGCCAGGGAGACCAAGTTCTTTGAGTTTCTCAACAGCTTCAACACCCCTCTTCTCATCTCTGGCTGTGAGTACCACAGTGAACCCATTTGAAGCCAATTGCTTGCATATTGCGAATCCAATTCCCTTATTTGCTCCCGTCACAACAGCATACCTACAAAACAGTGTCTCAAGTTAAGCTAACATGGATACGATTCACTGAAGTTATATTCATATGAAAATTGTGGCTAAATTCAGAGTATGTTGAAGAAAAAGAAGAATTTTTTTTTACCCTTTTGTTGTTTCTGCCATTACACTTGAACGAGGGAAGTAGCTGATGAAAAAATAGTGGTCGAAAACGAGCTGCTGATAAATGATTTTGAACAACTGTGCTAATGGCCAAATGATTAAATGCTTTTGAACTTTGTGTTGAACGAAAAATTCACGATAGGTTCTATGAGATTCAGTGTTATGGCCCACATTTTTGGTTGGTTTCAGCACAAAGAAGTCTTCTCATATCTTATTTTGTGTTTTCACTTCGAACCTTGTCTTCATGAATCGGCATACACCATAGCAACAAATTTGTGGTTTTTTTATTAGATGGACAAATATCTTATTACATAAAAAAAATATAATGAGACACTTTTACCTTCATATTTATTTAAATATAGTAAAAAATAAAATAATCATAAAAATATAAACTTTTATATATATTTTTTAATACAAATAAAAAAGTTAATATTAAATAAATATAAAAAATTATCGTTCGGTGGAGATGCAACCAGTTAGCATTGTTGAGAGCCGAACTAAGTACTTCAAGGGAAAGGTCATCAAATTAGTTAAAGTTGTCTGGGACAAGAAGACGAACGACTCTACATGGGAAGTGGAAGATGCAATGAGAGACTTGTATTCTTGTCTATTTTCTGGTAAGCTTTAATTTTCGAGGACGAAAATTTTTGTAGTTAGGGAGAATGTCAGAACCACTAAAATTCACGCACGTACCGTCTTAGTGGATTACATGTGTCAAGAAGGGAGTCCGACACTCAGATGGTGGAAGGCAGGTGTAAGAAACTGAGTGGACGTTCGTTTTGACGTTGGAAGGAAAACTCTGATTTTCAGAAATTCACGCCACTCTCTGCATGCACCCTTCTTCCCAGATTTCTGAAAAACTCCATTCTCTCCTCCTTCTCTCTACATCTCCTTCATCTTCTCTCTAAGAAAGCCTCACCGTTTCTTCCTCCGATCATCACTCAGGCACCATTTCTACTCCTTCGGTGTCAAGAGCTATAGTTTGAGCCGATCGGTTTTGAGTTCTGAGCTGGTAAATTCTTCTCTTCACTCAGCCGTGCGGTTTTCTTTTACATGCAAGCCAAGTTTTGGTTTCATGTGTTGATCGTTCTTCTAAAATAAGAGGTTCTGATAGTGTTTTGGTTTTACTTGGTTTAGTTTGGAAATTGTTGAGCGTTGAGGGTAGAAGGACTTGTAGTGGTGTGAACCGTATTCTGACTCTGTGAACGTTCGATCACGCTCAGAGGTAAGGGAAGCTTATATAATTTAATTTGTATGTTACTTGTATTGCATGTACGTTCGTTGAGTTGCTGAATTAATATGAAACATGATTGTTGCTATGTTCTGATTGTATGAAGTATGGAAATTCACTATGATATGGATGTATGAAATTTTGAAGATAAATAATTCTAAGTATGAAATTCCCTATGATAATGTATGTTTGTTACTGAATGGTCTTTGACCGTTCTGTTTTTCTCGAGGACTCGTTTAGAACTGGACTCTTTCATTTTGAAGGAATTTATGTCGAGGACGAGCGTCTTCGTCTAATACAATTTGTGTACAGGCGTTCCACCAAGGATATTCTTTTCTTGGCATTCTGATATAAATTTAAGTATGTCTATATGTAGTAGTATGTTCGTTCGTTCTTGAACATTAATTAAATAATATCTTATATCTACCAAGAACTCGTATGATTTAGTGCTAGGTCTTTCACCAAGCGATTGTACTATTTACTCATAGGTCTTTCACCAAGCGCTCGTACTATTTAGTGCTGGGTCTTACACCAAGCGCTCATTCTCTTTTCTATAATCTACCTTGATGAAAATAGCGTTCGTCCAAACTCAATGGTGTTCACTCTCTACCGTGCTCGGTCTTCGACTGACATTCATTTTTCTTGAGGATAAATTTATAAATAAGCTACGTATTTATAGCGTTCGGTTTCTTCATATGATTCTTTTAAGTACTATTATTTGAATGTCTTGTAGTGTCTGTCTCCATTGGTTTCAGCCTAGAGTCTTAGTACTCGGTCTAGGCTTTAAGGTGTTCAGTCTAAACGCTCATGGGTCAGTTCATCAAATTAACTCACTTTGTAAATAACGTTCGATCCTTTTAATCTTGCGAAATATTATTGAACTCGGTCTCTTCCCAATCCCGATGATAATTCTCTCTCAGTTTTGATCTGTTCTGGAACTGGAAACCTCTCGGTCTCAGTCCAAGTGTTCGGTCTCGTTAGGGGTTGAAGTTTTATGTTCGGTATTTGGTATCCTAAGGGATCTTCGTTAAAATTGAAGTTGGAAAATGAAAGATGATGGAATATGATGTAGATGAAATGAGTATGATTATGAACGAGTATTCCGGGGAGGAATATCTCATGAATGGATATTGGAATTTGGTAAATTATGAATGTGGGCATGCTAAGCTGGCGGTTCATCTTGATGTTCCGTGATTACTTGTTCTCACGTAGAGAAGAGTAAGTCATGTGTGGGAACGGCAGGAGGTCCTAGTTCTTATGGTTAATTTGGACAGATAGGTTTAACTTCGGGTGTCAGCTTTTGAGGGCATCCCAGTTACTACATCACCCGGGTGCATGAACGTCGTAGCTACACAAATTTCATACAGTCCGGACAGTCAGAGTCTAGTATTAGGCTTTGCATGAAAGAATTAATGAATTATCTTGTTTGGTTGAATTGTGTGAAATATATGTTGATACATGAATTAAATTACATAAGCTTACCTTACGTTTCCTGTCTTGTCTGTTTTGTACGTTCGGTTGTCTTTCTGTTGCAATGATCATCTATGTAGATGTGAGCAGAAGGAGACGAACTGCTGGAAGAAGCGCTGGAAGAAGAGAATTTAGTTGAGGTAGAAATTAAGACCGAACAGTAGAACCGTTCGGTCAGTATTTTTAGTTTAGTTGTAAGATGATCGTTCGATCATCTTTTTCATCTTTTTTTGAAGGACCGTTCGGTATAAGTCTTTTGTAAACCGTTTGGTCAGGCTTGTATCTTTGTACAGTTTTAATTTTCTTGTCTTTCTGTAAGGTCGTTCGGCCATAAGCGTACATTCTCTATTTTGCAAGACTGAGCTGTAATATTATTAGATGTGATTATTCTATGGTATGGTTTTATACTATATTTTTGAGATGTTACAATAACTAACAACAATTTGCCAACAAGAAATTAATGGTGTTGTAGAGACAAGGCTATGGTAGATATATCACTAACTTGAAGATCAAGATGACAACGTTGGTCAATACTTTCCAAATATAATGATAATTATTTTAATATGTTTGGTATGTTCATCAAACACTAGATTTGTAACAATAAAAAATTAAATAAATTTT